CACACACACACACACACACACACACACACACACACACACACACACATATATATATATAAAATGTATATATCAATTCTGGCATATATAAATAAATTCTCAGCATAATGCATGAGAGACAAGTCGTGTCGAATAATTAATAGTAGGCAATTGAATTAAGTTGCAGCGTAAGAGAAACTTGTACAATGCGGAATGTGTCGCGAAACTACACCCGAGTCGAAATTTTGGTTCCGCATTAACTCAGCAAATTCCCGCCAACTTGAAGGACCAATGGAGAATCTCGAGATATAACGCGCCTTTATAGACCACCGTCCTTCATTTGATGCCTCGAAATTACCTAATATTCGATTATCTACATTTAATTTTTCTTCTTTAATTTCGTTATAAACAATACATTAATCATACAGCTCGTTCAATGCAAAAATAAACTTGCAAGTACTTTTTTCTCACACTGAGAAAAAATATTAAAAAATTTATTGGTAAGATATAAGATTTACTTTTCACAAAAATAAACTTTATATCATATAAATAAATTTCTAAATATTTCTTCTCAGTGCAGTGTGCAAATTAACAATTGCGGGACTCCCGATAATTCCAAATCTGGACTCGGGCATCGCGCGACATTCTGATAGCGTGTCGATACTTTGATTGAAACCAGAAATTCTTAAATAAAAGTGTCGAACTCATAGCAATCAAGATCGACGACTGATTTAAATCGGGCTGTGATATCATATTTGATTTTTCGCGTTAGAATTCGCGCGTTAACGTAGCAGTGTATAACTTTTCTCTTACGCTTCTCGTTGGGAACCAATGCGATTTATTACGCATGCACAAATAGTAAGTTACGCTCAGTGAGCGTTTGAATTACACGCTCACCATTGCGCGCTGAGATCCAACAACGTCCAACTAGGTCCATCCGGACCTATCCAGGTCCATCCTGGTCATGAGCCCGCAGCTTCCGCTTCACGTCGTCTCACGTCGTCCCACGTTCGTTGCACTTCACTCGCTACGGGACCAAAGTTCACGTTTTTGACAGATTAACGACGAGAAAAATCGTGATTCATCTCGACGAAGCGACGAATGGCGAATTTCCCATTAAATTCTCGGCTATCGCAATAATTCTGCGAATGTAATTCAGGAGAGAACGACCTTTCCCGAGTGGCCAGGCGTCGGGATGCGCGAGCGAGGAAAATAAGCGGCGAGAATCACGTCGATCGCGAAATGTAATCGCGACTGTGCCTGAAAATCCTACCCCTTCGACGCGAAACGTAATCGCGACACGTGGACGAACGGGAAACTTTCGTCGTGCATCGGTGGCTTGTTTTCTTTTTTTTTTCGTCACGAGCAATTCGCCAGCGACGGCGCCGTGTGTCGCGCGGGACATTACGCGCAAAAAATGGGGAACGGCGCGGATTAAAAACCGTAAACGATCGCGCGCGCCAAGTGCGATTTCGCGGGCGGTATAATAGCGGACGCGGAATCGCCACGTCGGACTCTCGCTGCGCGGTATTTTCGGTGGAGCTTATCGCCGCGGCATCGAAATTAATTTAGCCACGTTCATTTCTCTCTCTCTCTCTCTCTCTCTCTCGCTCTCTCCCTCTCCGTTCACTGGGATCGTAGCGGCGTGAATGCACGCGAGCGCGAGGAGCACGAAAAATTGATAATCGCAGCGATCGCGAAATCTATCAATACGACCGAACTAATCGCGCGTTTCGCGCGTGGTAGCGCAACGTTGCTGCTGCGCATTATATCACGCTCGGAACAATCGTTGAATCGCACAACGCGAATAATTCCGCAGAATAATTCTACGGTTTCGACTCAATATAAAATGGAATAGTTAATAATAGAGCGCCGTATTAATGTAATCACGCTAGCGTCCGATGTGAGTAATTTGCATTAAAATTTATTGAAAAATAGCAAAAGTTCTACGATATGTATATATATATATATA